ATAAAATAATATGGATGTTATTTTCCAAACGACGACGACCATAATAATTATCATTATCAAGTCACAACTGTCTTACTACTTCACAAAAATCTCTTCTAACACGTTGGAGGAATGTCAATTATTCAAGTCGGTTTCAAGTTGTCAACAGTATCAAATTTGCATATAAACGTCGAGAGAAAAAAGGAGTATGTAATAAATAATATCTAGGGTCCAATGTTTGTGTAGTATCAACTTAAACACAGTAACCAAGCCTAATCTTACAAAAATTGTTGAAGAAAGAAGACTTGAACAAAATTAATCTCTTTCAGCCTTTAAATACAACGTTTTAAACTACCTATGTTCTAAATAAAATATTAGATAGACTTGGTTTATCTAACTTTGGAATAAACTTTATTAGTACTGAATTATTTATCAAATTCCTTTGACTTCATATTATCTAGGTAAGTACAGAATTTGGGTATTTATTATATAGTACGTGTTTTTGTCTACATTCTTTATTAATTTTATTACTGATACAATGACTCCTTGAAATCATTTCCCAAAAGGAGGTAAAAAGTCACGTTCAACACGTACCTAACAAGTACAAAAAATACAATAATTATAGAGTGTCTGAGTAGCAATAGTAATTTGAAATACCTACTATACTATGTTTTCATTTTATTATTGCAGCAATACTGCATTTCTTAAATTTTGCAATAACTACCATGTTACCGGTAGCCTAATGCTCCTTCCCATCCTTTTACCGTAAACCCTAAGGCTAGTGCTGAAAATCAGAGCCCCGACTCGAGCAATCAGGCTCGTGACACGACATTTTAGCTGAGCACTGGCCTTTTTGCACCTTGTACACTATTGTTTTTTTTTAACTATTTTGTTTCATGTTTTTTCTGTAATGGTGCAAATGAACTGTTTTTCTTCTTTGAAATTTTCAATCCCTAAAACGCACTTATGAACCTCCTGGTGTTTCGGATGTTTATGAGCAGCACCGATTACTTGCTATTAAGGAGTTCCGTCAGCATATTTGGCGTATTATGGGATTAAAAAAAATCTCCACCTAAATTTAAAAAAATGAACCCCGATATAGTGCGGGGGGAAAACAATTATTTTGTCTCTAACTAACACATTTAAGTACTTCACGAATTTGAACTAATTAATTTGCCAAGTTAAAGTCGGCGACTGTATAAATGCTGTGCACAAACCTGCCTTACAAAGACCACTAACTTCATTATCATGCGCCTCAGAATTTGATTAAAATGGTAGACAGAGCCAAGTTTTCACTCGTAAGAAACCAGAAGAGTGTTTGTTTTACAGATTTGACTGTTAATGTTGAAGATTTTTTGAAAGCTGAGGAAAAAGACGTTGAGTTAATGTGTTTATGATTTTTTAGGATACTGCACATCGTAATATTAAGGGCCTACTACCAAATTAGAATTAAGAACGTAATTTGTATATGAACATATAGATAAAACAGCCGCTAAATATTGTTCATTTTCTTCTTTTCTCATCTTGTGCAAATTAGTGTATAATATGTTTATTTGTAATATACTCTCATATGTGTATTATTTGATGTGTATCTATCATACGTACGTTTAATACATTATTTATCGGTTTTATTTTGTGTATGTAGTAGTAGTTTTTGTTTTGTTCATGCCATGTTACGCACCTTTTTACTGTTTTTCCTATCGAAGGACTGCAGGAAGAGGTTCCTACGGGAATATACCTGTGTACCTCCAATTTATTTATATATGTGTTCTCCTGTGTACTGTCTCTGTGTATGCATAAATAAATAAATAAAATAAAATAAGTTTAATAAGTTATTTTATATTCTTGTTAAATGTTCTCTAAAAATATTCTCCTTGAAATTATTATGTGCTTGCGTGTAATGATTTAAGTATATTTATTTATTCTCATTTATTGTCTTTCTTTTCTCAGTCAATCATTTGCAACAACCACCGACGGGTATATTAGAATTCAATATGGCTGTCACGTGTCGTGTTAATAACTCAGTAAAGTCAAAAGAAATGGATTCACTATTTGTGTAATACGGTCATGTTCCAACCTCTCTTCCTTTGAAAACAATTTTATTCCAATTTTTATATCTATCACTAGAGATATTCGTTTTATCAATTCCTTGATCTTTATAAGATTGATAAAGATAAAGAAGATTGATATGAATGTGTATGCGTGTGGATTTTATTAGGGTTTTCGCCAACTTTCTGAATGTTTTGGGTTAGGTTATGCCGCAATAATTTTTGTGTGCGAAACCACTGGCGCGTCGGACGAATAACCCAAAATATAAAAGTTGTAGCGAACATTTTTTGGGGGTTTTATAACTGAAGTACTATCTCATTTCACTACAAATGTATTGTGTTGTATATTTGCCTCACGTTTGTACAGAAATATTGTCAGTGAATACTTTGGAGTTTGTGAAATACCTATAGAACTAGTAAATGATATTTTGAAAAGCCAAACAGTATTTCAATAATAATATATTATATTCATAATTAAAGCATAACGTTTATAATCAAAATTAATACTACACCTTTTATTTCTAAATTGGCGCCCAACGTGGGACCACAATCTAAAATATTTCACAGTTAAATTCACTAACAGATACGCATTAACAATGGCAGTAAACCAAAGTTTTGATAATTAGAGAAATATTTTAGTATGTTATTAACACAACATAGAATTTCTAAATACTGTTCTCCTTTGTTATCAACAAATAACTGACTATTGCAAATTCAAATGCAATGATAATAATAATAATAAATGAAGTCAGAAATGGAAAAGCGTGTTGTAGTGTTCATCTAATAATTTATTTGGTTTAGACAGCAGTAAATGAAATGTATGTACTGAAGTTTGTTATTACAGGCATGTCTTGTTTTCCTCGTATACTAAAAGGTACAAGTACATGTAGTATGGCAAGCGAGCTCTCAGATTACCTGATGGTCTCATGAACATCTGGACTCATTTGACTAAAAACAACGCAAGCGTGGTTTCATACTAGGTTTATATGAGACCATGGTCACTTTGATCGATTCGTAAACGAGACTGGCTTCTTCAACTAAAATACCACTTTTTTTATGGGACAAGCCCGCCACAACCTCACAAACCGCTGCAACTCCTGTAAGCCAGGATCTACAGTAGATACAACCATGAAAACACCAAAACACTGAAGTCCGGCGCGTCACAGGGACATGAGTAATTGTCTTAGATCCCGCAACGAAGTGAATCAGAAGATATTATAAGAGGAGAAGAAGAAAAAAATATGGTTTCCACTTCCCCGGGTGAATTACTGCAGGAGACAGAATAAAATAACACATTGTTAACTATTCTAACCATTACACAAGATGTTCAGCACAAACAAAGAGATATTGATTTGAAAACAATCACTAGTTCCTCCCATGTTAATTTAACTACTTATCTATATTACATTGTTTGGTGACGGAGGTGGATCTCAATTTACTGTAAGATAAAAGTCCTATTGTAACAGTGGATGTTTTTATTCCAAAAATAAAATAGTATCCGAAGTATGAATACATAAGTCTAGAATTGCCATGGCCGATAATAAAGAAATCAACAAACAACTGAAGATAGTTTCTTCGATCGATGATTCTATTATGCCGACCGATACAAACCTCGATGATTCTAAACCAATATCTTACTATGCACGGAATCCGTATCAGCATCTAGGTGCTTTGTGAGCTTTGTAATGAAGTAATGAAAAATTAATGTGATAAAAGTTATATAAAATTAATAAATAATGGATTTTCATATCTTTGGTATACAAATAAAACAATATATTCATATTTTTAACAAAACAAGTACATTTTCACATAAATAGTTACAACATTTCGTTTAAAAAGCCTATTTTAACTAAGACGATAATAAATCTACCGGCGCGACTAAATACGAGTTAGTTAAAATATGACTCATATAATAAATATTAATACTATCTAGTGTATTAATACAAACAATAACGGTCCACGGCAATTATGAACATTCATTTGTATCAATAAAATATGAGAATGACAAATTTCATGAAAACGCATTTACATCACCGAAATACTAACCAGAATCATAAATCTCATAAGCCAAACTCAAGTATTTTTTTATAAAATTTTAGTTATGTAATTAATATTATTTCGATTTATCTTTCTTTTTCTATCTGACCTAACCAAGATAAATATCAAAAAGAAAATTTATATCAAAGAAAGATTTATTCGAGTAACTTTTAGAAACTATGTATATCAAATATTTAACTCGTATTTCTATTTAACGTCAAGACAGCAATCGCTCGCCATATTTTATAACAAATCAGTTATAATGTTTAAACTTCAACCTTTAAAAAGAAAAAAATATTTGGCCATATTTCAAAGGAGAAATCTCTCGAAATTAGGGTCATAAATTCAGGGTACCTCGGTGACGAACTAGAGGGACTTTATTGGAGAATTTCCTTCTAAAAACTCTCATATTTCACGAACATCAATTTACCTAAGTAAGCAATATGTATGTTAGACCCGGGATCTCATTCTAGGACACAAAACTTAATTTAGCTAAAAGTATTTTGCCATGGAAAAAAGATCCTTGTAATCGTGTTAGATATTTATAACTTCGGGTCCATAACTAATTATGTATAAGAAGATTTCATGGGTCAGTGAAATTTTGGACACTCCAACGCCTCTAATCAGAAAAACGTGTTTTGTCAACTGTAGAAAATCCTCAATTTTAAGTTCGCACCTTATTTATATTCCGGTGAACAAAACTCCGACAAACCACAAAACTCATAAAAATGTCACTTGCAAAAATCCACCGCTTACCGACCATAAGAATACGATTAAACGAATCGTAAAATCATCTCCAATAATTTATCTTCCATGCAAATGCACGATTCCTTTTACAACAATAACGGGCATACTTTATCATATGAATATGATATTGGCACTTCAAAAAACATTTTACACTAGAAAATTATCATAAGAAAATATCACTTCACTCACCGTTTTTTTAATAAATCACATTTGCAGCACGTAGAACTAGGTTAAGGAGATAACGGTGTTTAACTTTGTAGGTAACTGTAGTTCGAATACCGCGCGCCGAATTGTACGCACAACACACGGCGAGTACGTCTGAACGGAATAGTTGCCCGCGTAGCACTGGGAGACGCGCAGTCTCCGAATCATGCCCGTACCAGCTCCCAAATGACTCGCGTAGCCCGTAGCGCTACGGCGTAGCGTCGGCGCTACGACGCTCATAAATTATGATAAACGCGTTTATTTAATTACACCGATGGGCTCGACATTTTTTTCGTACTATAAAGTAGCCTTGTAGAATAACAATTTTTGATCTTGTTTATACTGAATTTCGGTTAGATTCTGTTACAAGTGGTAATTATTTGTTTTTGAACATTTTCATAATAATTGTTGTTGTTTATTTTTTTCCTGCTTTTCGATATTATTTGGTTGTTTACAAGATAAAAGTGTTCTCGTGATTAAGAGTGTTTCAATGAGTTACTCAGACTAACGTTTACTAAGCTCTTTCATTGAGAAGATTAGATACTTGACACAAAACACAGTCGTTAGGAGACGATGTACAGCGTGGTAAAGTTTTTATTGCAAAAGTCTTAGCTTTATTTATACTTATTTATCTATTGGTAATAGTACGTATTAAGGGCACTAAGCAAACAATGAAATAGACGACTAGATTTTTTTCATTATTACTTTTCCGCATACTTTTTCCAAAATGGTAAAAACCTCAAATGACTTTAATCACCTAGGTAGTCACACTTACAACTACTCCAACTAGCAAGACAGTGAAAAAGCAAGCTTCAAAAATTAATACCCCACACACATACAGCACTATAACAAAAACTAACGTCATAACAATGTGACGTTTCCTTACACAGAACACATTCCAAGGAAATAGATATCTGTCTTCTTAGAGCGAGGCACTTGTAATATCTAATATCAGTTAATTAAGGCGACATTGTCTGAGCCAGGCTGAAACAACGCGTAATGAGGGAAATTTCACTGAAGCCTTGTATGACGCAATCAATTTGAAGACGTGACATTTATACTCGACTAGTTACCCCCGCACGGCTTTACTCGCTGCTCAGCTCCTATTGATCGAAGCGTGATGTTTAACATCCTATAGCCTTTTTCGATAAATGAACTTTTCAAAATAAAAAGATTTTTTAAATTGAACTAGAATTGCAGAGATTGGTGCGTTCAAAAACATAATCTCTTCAGCTGTATAGGAAAATATAATAAAAGATAAAAAAATATTGAAGTATTAGATTCCTATACTGAAGAATGAATCATTATTATTACTAACGCTTGTGGTTGACGTTGCCTGTCAGACGGGTCGTGGTTGCGTGGTTCAGCTGTGCCTGACTTAAATCGATCTATGTATGTGTTGTGTGAGTTTGTATCGAAAATTCGGTTACTATGCCTCGGATTTTGTCGTAAGATTGTGTTGAAGATAAATGGGACCTAAGTTCTGTTTGTATAAGTGATCTGATACAAATCATCATTGTTAGAACTATCTACTTTTATGTTACGGTTGAAATCTAGATTAGCGACGACTGACAAGTCTCCTTATATCTATGAGTTTTTAAGGTCATTATTATTATTCCTTTTCCATCCTCTGCTGGACATACCTATGTATAGGCCTCTCTTGTAGAACCCCACTAAGTATTAAGTTTTAATTATTAAGTATTAAGTTAGACAATGCATCGAATTCGTTACTTAGTTGAACAATGGATGTAAAAATATAATGTGTTGTAATTATTTGTACCTATTTTTATTAAAGGGGAAAATCAACTAATGTCTTCTCTCACCCGGGGTGAGAGAGTAACTAGAGTAAGACTCTTATTGACTAAAAACCACCCCGTTCTCATTTCTGCCCTTCGAGCCGAAGCCCCAGCAAACCGTTACGTTTTCTGCGGTTCTATATCGCCATCAGCCCTACCGGCCTGATGAGTCTGACTCTTTGAGGTGCGCGTGGAACGCGACTCATAAAACTTGAAAATTGCATAAACCATGTTACCTGTCCTATTTAGGTCACTTATGAAGGTCTTTCATAAATACGTTATTTCAACCCACGATGAATTCCAACTTCTCGATAACTTTGTCATTTAATATGAATAGTGTCCTTGCCATTCCATACGGTTTGTACTGACACAAAAATTGTACAACACTCCAGGGAAGTTCTGCAGAGATAAATGAATTTATCATATCAAATAATACCCTTAAGGGCTTAACCGAGTTAGGTTCAGGGGCAAACGTCCAGTATATCATATTTTAGTCACATTTTATTTATTTATGATTAACTTTGCCTTTTGTAACTTTGTCCTAATGAAAGTTAGAGTTGAAGAATAGCTTAGGAATAGGTTAGGTTAGGTTTTATACCTCTAGAAACGAATTTTGCGTGTAAGGAGCTATCAAATATGAGTAATATTAAACTGTTAGATGTTAACACTTCTGTTTTGATAATAGCAAAAAGTTGGGCACAGAAAACTATGTCGATTTATTAAAGGCCATAATGATCTTTTACACAATTTCTATGAAGAATGTGCCAAACTGCGATTAAATTTTGTGCTGAACTGTTGTACTTTGAACCACTAAACTATCATTAATTTGTCTTACATAAATATGACAGATAATAATATATTGACTCTAAAACCTTCTGTTACCCTCAGGGACGTCCTGTTGCTTAAATCAGTGTAATATATGTCCGCTAGGAGACTACGAGTGACGTTATTATTAAGAAGACGTGATGCGTGTCACAAGTGTTACGCCACTGTGGTCTGGGTTAGGTTTAGTACACACTTGGAGTAATTTGGAATAGTATATTTAATTATAATAATAATATAAGCCCTTCTACTTCAAGAAAATTATACAAGCCTAGTTTTTTTTTTACTTTAGCTGCCCATTTCATAAGGCTGATGCCGATACGAAGCCACGGAGGACTTAGACGGTTGCGAGGGCTCCAATTTGAAGTACAGGAGTCCTACTCCTGCACTGAGGCAACCCTAGCGTGGATTTAAGGCAGTAAGAACCTGACACCTGACACAAGAAGTCATTGGATGATTTTCCAACCTCAAAAAATTATTGCTATTTTCATTAAAAATGGGTGTCATCTGCGGAGGACTAAGGGGGAGGGCTTTGTTCTGCAGTGGACGTCTTCTAGATGGCGATAATAGTTATTATGGGGATGATTTTAATCGATCTTCAGTCTTTTCGATTTACTTGCTCGGCTACATTTAAATTGGAATCAAAAATTAGAGGCCTATCACACTAATATTATAAATGTGAAAACTTCTTTGTTTGAATGTTTGTCCGTCAATAACGCTGAAACTAATGAACGGATTTCTATTATGAAGATAAGATCTATTTAGAAGATAAGACGATAGAATCTTGATAGTGTAATTTTAATAATAAATTTGCACGCCATATACGGCAGGATACGCTGGAAAAATTTTTTACTGTAACACCTTTTGTACCGTATTTTAGCAAATAAACATTTTTGATTTGATTTGATTTGGATTTTGATAAAATTTTGTATAGAGGCAGAGTATGGGCTGACTTAAGTGATAAGATACTTTTAACCCGATTAAATGCTTCTATTGGATAAAACAGTAATAAATTCTATGCAAACGAAACAAACAACAGCCACTACTCATAAAAAAAAAATCTGATGAATTTTCGAACGTCATAAACAAATTCTTTTTGGATTATTATTTGACCAACAACGAAATAAATAATAAATTAAACCCCTCAATCCTACTATCGAAAATTAAATCGAAATGCTATAATATATTAAAGCGATGTTACGTATTTGTTAGAATGTTGGTAGTTTTGGATGATGTTCCAAATATTTGGTCTCTATTATGAAAGCGAATGCCGTAGGTCAGTGAATTGAGCGTTCTATTGTAATGGGTTTTCAACATTAAGTTGTGTACGTAAATGTTTATGTCGCTGTATTGACGTCAAGTGTGTGCTCTTAGAAATTATTTTTTGATACACATATGCTCATTTTAAGTTACTGTTAATATAAGTTAAGTATAACGCAACAGTCTATTGTATCACGGGCCTGCGGACGGTAAGCACGCACCTCAAGGAGCCAATAGACCACAGATGGGGCCCAATAGGGCTGATGCCGACACGGAGCCACGGAGGGTTTAACGGGTTGCCGGCGCTCCGGTTCGAAGTGCAGGAGTAGGAACGGGGTAGTTTTTAGTCAGTAAGAGTCTGACACTCTCTCTCGCCTCACTCGGGGGAGAAATCATCGGATGATTCCCCCCCCCCCTTAAAAAAATGGCAATTATATCGAAAACTACATAATTTTTTTGACACGTATCAGTACTAACTAACCTAAAACTGTTTCTAACGTTTATCACAATTTGAGTAATAGAAGTATGTACAGTGTCATTTAAAAAAAAACCATTATGAACTATGTACTGTGGAAGTTATAAAGAACATTGTCTGTAAATTATGATGCTTCTCTCAGTGCGTATAGAGCTTAACAACATAAGGCTTACATTCCGAGACATACAGGAAGGTTACGGAAATTCGATTCGAGGCAAAGTCTCATGAAATCAAAAAGCCAAGCTCAGTCACGCATTCCGGTATTAGGGTGGATTCTAAGTGTAATTATCCATTACAATGGTATATATTGAAATGATGACGTCACTTGTCTCATTACCTGATCACGTACTGTTTACAATATCCTATTCTTATTAAGTTAGTCTCTTGGCTAACTTGAAAAATTACAATGGTACCTTTACCATTGTAATTTTTCAGACAGAAATACTCTAAAATTGAACTTGTTCTTAGTTAAGACAGAATCTGTAAACTTTCATCAACATCATTATAGGCTGTAAACTTTAAAAGTCAAGAATCCCACATTTGAATCTTATTTGGATACAGCTTAGATACTTCTCAAAGTTGATCCTGCAGAAAAAAATTATGTCTTAAGATCAAAAACTCCCAATCAATAGGTTTGCACTTCTAGGATGTAGACTACATAGTAAAAAACAAAGTCGCTATCCACCGTCTGTCTGTCCCTATGTATGCTTAGATCTTTAAAACTACGCAACGGATTTTGATACGGTTTTCTTTAATAGATA